CTCTCCCTGGAAGCTGTTGGCAGTTAAAGACTGATGGGGAAAGGGCATTTTCTTTAGCAGTTGGCCACTGTTGAGTTGCACTCACCCATGCCAGCAACCTTAGTGCAGCCAGTGGGTCATGAACACAAAGCAAATGAAAAGATAAGAAAACAGGAAGAGAAGTCGCTGGGAAGGAGGAGTCCCGAGGGAGTAGGAGAGGAATGGGATGTGAAAATGAACAAAACACAGTATGTACACATGACAGAATCTTGTAGAAATGCGTGCAAAAAGCCCACAACTCACCTAGCCCTCCCATAGTTGAGGATCCTTCACCTCCCTTCCCATTTGCTGTTCAGGTATAATTTGGAAGAGAAACATGACATGTTTTCCCAATGAATGCTTATATTACTTAAATCTATCCCCAAACTTATTTAAGTAAGCCTTACAAAAAGGCAGGGAAATGTAAGTGTAGGCAGCTGTTTAAGAACTATATTAGCCCTTCCCTTTCTGACATAGATGTTTCCGTGGAAGTCTATGTGTATCTAAGTCTGGTATTTTTACCGATTGAGTTTTAAATGACAAAATAGAAATCAGTTTATAAACTGCCACATCCTCTTGTTTATTAGTGAAGAAAAGCATCCTGGTATTCTTAGTTATAAATGGACTCTTGATTTTGAGCTTTATGGTTTTAAAATGACAAAAAATATTGTCTAAGTTGATTTGAATTTTATACCCCAAAACTGATTTTCATGCTTTCCTATGCTTTCATGGGAGCCATGAAGAGCAGCACTATGCTCTTGGAGAACCTTGAAGGGTAGACATTGCTTTCTTATATCTATTTATTTGATTTTGAAGTTGAATTCAGGCTACATGGAACAAGAAAAACCTATGTTCTGAGCTATTATTCTGGAAGTACTGTTGAGAATCTATAGCCCAGTGTCGCAGTGGCAAACTCCCAGCAAACTCAAATGGCTAAATCCCAGCAAACTCAAATGGCTAAGTCAGAAAGATCACGTTAGAGACCTAGCTAGGTTGCATAGTGATCATTGCTCTCCAGGATACAGCTTAATTGAAAGTAAACTAAGTTCACCTTCTTTTACCCTTGAAACCTCAAGCTAGCCATCTATTAGTGTCTTTCCATGCTGTATTTAAAATGAAAAATATCATGAATAAGGTGTGTGTGTGTGTGTGTGTGTGTGTGTGTGTGTGTGTGTGTTGGTCATACATGCATGGTGGTGCCTGCCTATAATCCCAGCACTAGGGAAGTTGAGGTAAAATGATCGAAAAATTAGACATCAGCCTGAACTAAATGGTGAATTCCTGGAGATGTCAGGCTATGTGGTGAGACCCAGGGTCTAAAGTCAAATCAAGGAGAAACAAAGGAGAAACAAGAAATTCTTAACACTTTTTTGTTTTCTCACTGTATGCCACTTCTGACTAAAAGTCTTAGGTAGATGGTCCTTATATTTTATATGTCCTTGAAAGAATTTCTGTCAAGTTAAGAACATTGTCTTACTCCCCGTGATTAGACATGGGCATGCCTTAGAAATTGGTGGATCCAGGTTTCTATGAGCCTGGGGACCAGGCTCTGACACTCCACAGTCTTCTTGAGATAGCTGGTGGGACAGTTTTCTTCCCAGATAGAAACTGGTTTGAAATTATTTTAAATCAGCAGTGGTTTGATAGTGAACAAGTGTCTGTTTCCCTAGATGACTTCTATTATATGAGAGGAAGTTAAGGTTTTTCTTCCATGTCATTTTTTTTTTTTTTTTTTTTTTTTTTTTTAGTTGTTTTGGCTTTGATGAAACTTAAGTCATGGGGTACCTGAAATTCTACTTCAGGGTTGGTGCTTTGAAGTATTTGGTGAGTTTTAAAACATCACTCAGTCAAGTGAGTGTAGCATTTGACGGTCTTCAGTGTAGTGTTTTAGGAGTACCACCTGAATGGGCCTCTTGGGCTCTGTACCCTTACACCACTAATGTGTTTGACCTATGACCCCTGCTGCTGCAGCTGCCCAGTAATATTTGCTGTCACACATTGATTTGGTACTCTGTGTCTCATGCTGTTTTATTGCTATAGGTTAGCCCAGCAACTCTGCAGAGGAAGTGGCTTATAGTCAGTAGGTATGACTCCCTGAATCCTGTGGCCTCAGGTCTCAGCTGTGGAGGCCCTACCTTCTACTTTCCCAGTTTAGCAGATGCTCAAGTTTGTGAGGGCTTAAAAAATGGCACGAACTTGCATCCAGAGCCAGGATAGCAAGTCATAAGTTTAATGTTCAGGTATCTTCTACCTGAAGGAAAACAATCTTTTAAAATACTTAACTTTATGGCCTATGTAGTGGAACATGTCTTTCTTTAATCCTGCCACTTGGAGGCAGGGGCTGGTGAATCTCTATGAGTTTGAGGCTGGTGTGGTCTATATAGGAAATTCAGTGTGTTCCTGTATACAGTGAATACAAGTGTATTCCTGCATTCACAGCGAAAGCCAGCTCGTTCAGTTATCAGGGCAGGAAGCAGTACGTGCACAGGGCTTTCCACACACTGCCCCTTAGCAAGTTCCTCCTCAGATGGAAGAATTTCCCAACAGTTAGATGATACTGTCTGTGTGAGCCAGAAATACATTTCCTTGTTGTTGTCTTACCTGCCTTTCCCCTCTCCCAACCTGTGTGAGCAATGAGCATGCTGCCCAGCACTTGGCATGGGGTGATGCTTCTGCTACACCTAGCAGATTAGCCCAATGGATCTTTGAAAAGGCTGTTCCTTATTACATCTTGCAAAATTAAATGTGGCTGTTTTATTGGGGACCCTTTATTTTGATATTAGCAGCATTACCTTGTTCCCTTTTTCTTATAAGAACATCTACTTCAGGCTGATGCTTTGAGCCACAGTGAAGACTGAAAAAACATCACACATGAAGTTATGCTCAGTATTTTATAAACTTAAAATATCTTCACTTGGTTACAGTAGAAGATATAAACTATTAGTTATTATTTCCTATAGGCACATTTGGAATTAACAAAATCATGTTCTGATTGCTTTCAATGGTTCTCAGTTTTGTAGACTTTTTTTTGAGGAATTAGAAACATGTTTATCTTTAGCTATAATCATAATTATCTTTGTTTTGTGGTACTGGCACATTAGCCAGGAATTTAATGTTCTCTTCTTTTATGTATTGCAAACTTTTATAGTAGAATGGTGACGTCTATAAAAACTAGATTTGTCCTTCCTATTGTAAACTATCTTCAATTTAAATTAATTTTTTAATTTTATGTGTAGGCTTTGCTTTCATTTATGTGTGTATGTATGTATGTATGTATGTATGTATGTATGTACACTGCATGTGTGCAGTACCCATGGAGGCCAGAAGAGGGCACTGTGGCAGCTGGAACTGTGGTTACAGATAATTGCAAGCCATCATATGGATGCTGGGAAAAGAATCCAGAGCCTCTGGAAGAATAGCCAGTGCTCTAAACAGCTAAACCAAACTTGGGCCCTCTGCAGGAGTAGTTTGTACTCAGAACTATACCTCTCTAACCCCACAATAACCATTTTAAAGCAACACTTTCCTTAACTTCCTTCTGAAAAGTTGATGGTTTCACATTATTGTTGATATCAAGGGAGACAAAAGAAAAAATGAGGCTTAAATTTTTAAAATTTAAGCATAAAGAACCTTCAGATTGAAAATTTGGTTCAGGGGCTGGGATTATAACAAATTTAGTGATAGAATACATGTGTTCTTAGGTTCAAACTGAAGTTCAAATAGATCACAACCTAGATTAATTTCTTCTATAGTTTGGATGTGTTTAATAGGGCTTTGAAGTCATAATTTATGCTCAGCCTCTTTGGTCTCTGTGCCCAGCATGTATATGCATGTGTGTTATTATACTTATTATAAGTGCCTGTTAGTTCAGCTCTAGGGGGAGAGGGACAGGAGAATTATTGGGGCCTGCTGGGTTCTGGCCTCACCAAAAAAAAAAAAAAAAGACAGTCTTTGGGGAGAATGACAGAGGCTAGGACACAGTCCTTCTGGTCTCTGCATGTGCAAAGGTGCATCAAATGAAAAAATACATGTTGAGGAAAAGAAAACTTGATAAAAGACAGCACTTTAAGTGTGTTCATTCATTGGTGAGCACTTCATGGATCACCTAGAGACCAGCTCACCCAGCGCCGCACAGAAAGGCAATCTAATGCCAAAGTGAGCACTCCAGGGTCTTCTCAACAGAATGGTCATGTGTTTTACAGATATATCTGTAGTACTCTGGATATCCTAATTCTTAGAACTTGGCGTTTACTGTAAAAATAGTGTAGTTCTCCCACAGAATTTCAGCTGTATGCTTGAGTTAATATATAAAGAAATTTTTAAATAGGAGTCATCAAGATGGCTCAGTGGGTGCCTGCCTGCCTGCCTGCTGAGTGTGACCATTGAGTTCAGTCTACTGGACCCACCTAGTAGAAGGAGAAGGCCAACTCCTGACATTTGTCTTCTGACTTCTGTGGTGTGGCATTAGTATGTAGTTGTCCTGTCTCACAGCTGCTCTCAAATAAACACAGAGACTTTTATTAATTATAAATACTAAGCCAATAGCTCAGACTTACTACTAACTAGCTCTTACATTTTCAATTAACCCATATTTCTTATTTATGCTCTGCCACATGGCAGTACCTTTATTAATATGGCACATTCATCATCTGCTCCCCCTTCATCTGGCTGGCAACTCCAGACTCCATCCGTCTTCCTCCCAGCATCCTCCTTGTCTAGCTCTCCTACCTACCCTTATTCTGTTCAGCTATTGGCCCGTCAGCTTGTTTATTAAACCAGTCACAGCAACATATATTCACACAGTGTAAAGGAATATTCCACAGCGTAAGTAAGCCTCCCCTAGCTTACACATTAAATGTAATAATAATAAAAAATTAAAGCTGGGATTACATTTTAAAATGAGAAAATTAGGTACCAATAAGTATAAACATTATGTTTTATGACATGAATATCTAAGTTTTGCCTTCAATTTCTCATTTAAGGTCTCAGCCAGTTTCTTCTCCAGTTGTCCTCCAGTTTGGTCATGCAGAGACCCTCCTGCCACTGCTCTCACTCATGGGCTATTTCAAGGACAAGGAGCCCCTGACAGCATATAATTTTAAGGAACAAGTCCATCGCAAATTCCGAAGTGGTCGCATCGTACCTTATGCCTCGAACCTGATATTTGTGCTTTATCACTGTGAAAATGCAAAGACCCCTCAAGAAGAGTTCCAAGTACAGGTGCTGCTGAATGAAAAAGTGTTACCCTTGGCTCACTCACAAGAAACTGTTGCTTTGTACGAGGATCTGAAGAACCACTACAAGGACATTCTTCAGAGCTGTCAAACAAGTAAAGAATGTAACCTACCCAAGGTGAACATCACATCTGACGAGCTGTGAGGACAGGCTCCATTCCGCAGTGCTTTCACCTGGACAGCTGTGTTTGCAATGGGGAGGCAGCTGCTTGACTGAGAAAGCTTCCAAGGCCTGGGTGTTGTGGTGTACGCCTTTAATCCTAGCACTCTGGAGACAGGCAAGAGGATCTCTGTGAGTTCAAGGCTAGCCTGATCTACATAGTGAGTTTCAGGCCAAAAAAACTACATAGAGAAATAAGATAGATTGCTTGGTCCTTTTGTCTTTTCACAGACAATATTAGTTTTAGGATCTGGACATACGGGTAAGACATGACTTTCTCTAGAGGAGTTTTCTTCAGGGCAAAAACCAATTCAAGGAAACAGCTGGCCCAGCAAGTGTTTACAGAGCTGAAATTGCCCTAACTTAACCTAAGAAACGTACTGGGATAGAACATTATTAGAAAGTGACACTTGAGAAATGTTGGATGCCAAAGCACAGTGTCAGCTGGATGATCTGTAATTGATCGAATAAGTCAGGGACTTCGGTGATCATGTTGACTTCCTTCTTCACACAGGACACTGCTAGTACAAATGATGTCACTTAGTCGTGACTGTGGTCAGATGGGAGCCTGACTTCAGAAGAAAGTCTATTCCATTTAGAAGGGAGTTGAAGAACCAGGCTGCAGCAAGACTCAAAGTACGGAATATTTTTACTAATATTATTTATAAAAATCTTTAAACACTTCATCAGTAATTTCTTTCAACCTCTAAGTAGGTCTTGCTGGGTCATCTGAATTCCATCAGGCCTGTTTCAGGTGTGCAGCGATGACAGTAAGCACCCTAGGCAGACAGATGCCAGTGTTTCTACGTCTGTTGCCTGGTTGTCTTTTTCATCCTATCACAGCTTTACTTCTTATGTTTTGTTATTACATAAAGTATCTTTTGGTGGTTTGGATTTTATTCTTTTTTTTTTTTTTAAATAAAGACTATTCTGCCTGATTTCATTGTATAAGTTTAAACCTGTTTCAAAGAAACTCTGAGTTCTCTCAAATGCCATGCAGATGTTTGCTACAATAAATAGAGTTCTTATGACTTTACTACTAAGTCATTTCTTCACTCAGTCATTGCAGGTAAGGGGTTGGAATTTCAAGTGTTTGGCTTGGCGAGACAAACCTTGTTTCTTCTAGTGAATGGGCTATTTTAATGCCTCTTGTCCTCATTTGTATTCACTTTAAAGATGTCTTTCAAAGAGGATTTGTTTTTTGTTGAAGTGTATGGTTAATCTTTTCAAAGCATATCAGTTAAATCTCAATTTAGCATAATCTGCTGTATAACGTTATAGTTTACTTTTGAGGAAAGGAACCCTATGAAAACAAATCCACAGTGAGGCTATGCATTATCTGGACAAACTATCACCTGTGATGTGCATGAGGACGTTTGCAGCTACATTTCCACGAGTAAAGGAATAAAATCATTTTAGGCCTTAAAAGCTAAAATGCATGCCATTTTGGTACCCCTCAATATGCTTCCTAGTTAATGCTTAATCCGATAAAATTTTTGGTCAGTGGAACTATGAACTAATTTAGCCACACAGTTAAAAATGAGACTATGCACTAAGTTGGAGACACAGTTAAGATTTTTACTGATATTTTTTAAAGTTAACCCTCCTTTTCCTAGATTGTAAAATATAACTAGAGGGGACCAGCAAGATGGCTCAATGGGCAAAGGTGCCGCCCGACAACTTTACTTTGACCCTGTGAGTTCGCCTGGAAAGAAAGAACAGACTCCCACAAGTTGCCCTCTGACCTCCCCATGTGTGCATGCATGCATGTGCACATATGTGTACACACATATATGCACATTTAAGTGGAAATTTTTAAATATATAACTAGAGGAACAATTAAAGTTAACGATTGTGTGACATTGCCAATACCTTTTTGAATGGAATTTTCTAAGGTTAAAGGAAGTACTACTGATGAATAATTAAAGAAACAAGCCAACACTAGGGGCTTAAAATATGTTCATGCTGTGAAAAGATGATACACAGCTTTTTCAGAAACTAAACTATTCTATAATAGCAAGTATTGAGAGCTGGCACTGTGATGCTCAATGTGAACAATTAAGAGACATGCCTCTGGGCAGGTCTGGGAGATACTTCCAGGAAGACTAGCTTTGGGGAATATCCTTCAGCGACATTATATACCAGCAGCTTTGGATTTCCACATAGATTGAAGTCTAGCAACTTCCCAGGCCTCATAAAGTCCTTCAGCACTATATCGGGACTGCTGAAGCATCAGGCTTTGTAGCCTGAGCAGAAACAGGGTCTCACCCTCTAGCCACTGTGAGGACTACATAGTCCTTATTGGCCATAAGCCATTCTAGTGTACTGCCACAGACTCTCTCAGTTCTAGAAAGGACCCTGCCCAGTGACATGACACAGATTCATTTACCTATTCTTCTAGAACACAAATCCTGCAAAGAAGGGGTGGTTTAAATGAAAAGGGTCTCATAGGCTCACACAGTTGAATGTCTGGTTCCTAGTTGGAGGAAGTGTGTCACTGGGGGTAAACTTTGAAGTTTCAAAATCCCACACCAAGCCTCGCCTGTCCATGCTGCCAACTTTGGATAGGATGTAAGTTCTCAGCCACTAGTCCAGAACCATGCCTGCCTGCTGCCATGCTCCCTGCCATGACGGTCATAGACTCCCCTGCACTGTCAGCAAGCCCCCAGTTCAGTGCTTTCCTTTATAAGCTGCCTCGGCCATGGTGTCTTCACAGCAATAGAAGAGTAACGAAGGCAGAAGTTGTCATTGATGCTGCAAAAGGGTGCTGGCTTCAGTCACCTCAGGACTCTTTTCTTACAGCATGTCCCAGGCTGTTAACATACTGCTGAGTGTTAAAAGACCACTGAGCGCCTTTCCAGGCACTTTTCTGTCTTATTAGACCTGAGTTCTTCAAGAAGAGTCTCCTGTGGCTACTATTAAGTGAGAGTATATATAACACTTTGAGATGAAACCATGCTATCTGGGGTTCATGGTAAATGACAATTAAATACAAGGGAAATAATTGCATTTGTAAATTAGAACAGATAAATGGGAGCATTAGGAATTTATCTTAAAGTGGTGCTTTATATTTTTTTCACTTAAATATGCTAATTTTATTAAAATCTAAATTATCAAAACATCACATGGAAGCCAGTGGCCTCATGATGCAGGATTAGTTGTCACTTGGCTGTCACAGGAAGTGAAACTGCCACATTGTATTTTCACTCATGGCGGTTCCTGCCAACGCTGAGTTTCCATAAAATTAATGAGCACTCCACTCATCCTGTTTTACCAATATGAACATTGAAATATTTGCATTAGATCCCAACCAGAGAAGAGCAGTTCTGAGGACTTGCATACTTCCCCAACCCAATTTTCCTCACTGTCTGCCTAGAGCGTTCACCGTGCCCGTGCCATGCCTAACTGAAAACCATTGAGAGTTATTTGCAAATGGTTTTGTTAAAAGGAGTTGGAGTGTTTGTATTGTTCTCGAACGAGTGACTTAACTGATGTGAGCATTTTCCTGTGACTTGTTGGTTCTGATCTTTGGTGCAAATTAGAATTTTTACTTTTGTCTGTGCCTGTGTAGTGGTTTGAATGAAAGTGGCCCCCATAGGCTCACAAGGATTGGCATTATTGGGAGGTTGGAGGAAGTGTGTCACTGGGGGTGGGCTTTGAGGTTTCAGAAGCTCAGGCTAAGTCTAGAGTGGCTCATAGTCTCTACCTGCTGCCTGTAGAGTCAGATGTAGAACTCTCAGCCACATCTCCAGCACATGTCTGCCTGGCTATGAACTGAACCCCTGTACCTGTAAGCCAGCCCCAACTAAATGCTTTCCTTTATAAGAGTTGTCATGGCCAGGCGGTGGTGGCACACCTTTAATCTCAACACTCAGGAGGCAAAGGCAGGCAGACCTCTGTAAATTCAAAGCCAGACTGGTATACAGAGTGAGTTCTGGAACAGCCAAGACCACACACACACACACACACACACACACACACACACACACACACACACACACAAAAAAAAAAAAAAAAACCCTGCTTCGAAAAACCAAAATAAAGAGTTGCCTTGGTCATGGTGTCTCTTCACAACAATAAAGCCCTAAGAAAGCTTGTGTGTGCAACATGCACATGGAAGTCAAAAAACAGCTTGCTGTTGTATTCAGTTGACCACACTCTGGGATCTGGGGACAGGGTTGGCAACACCCACCTTCACCTGCTAATCCATCCTGTTAGCTCTAAATTGGGAGTTTCAATTCACCTATACCTGCTGAAAGCAATCTATGTTCAAATATTACGTTTACTCTGTAGCCATGCAAAAAGATGAATCAACCTCATTCTTTTATCCAAAGGTGTTACCTGAAGAACTAGTGTGCTTGGTGTCTTATGCTAGCTAAATAACTTGGGATTCTTTGAATGACTTTGTAAAATATCAGGGACCATGAATGTGTGATAGTAATTATCAGAGTTCATCATTAAATAGGACTATAGTAAATTTCAACCATGTAAAGACACGTGGCATATAAATACTTGAGCTTAGAAGGCAAGCAGTGTCCATTTTCATTAGTACTACAGTTGTTAGATTAGTCTGATGTTATTCTCATTTGGGAACCTCCTGAAAAAGAATCTCATAAGAACTGGAAGCCCTACCTGAGATTCATGAAAAACTGAACATTGAAATTAATATTTGGCTAAGATGGCCCAGTTCAATTTAGCTGAAATTTAATTCCTATTGATTTGAAGTCTTATTGATTAATCACATGCTGACATTAGCTATTCTAATCGACAACTGTATGTATGTATGTGCTGAGCTTGGTTCTTGGTGCCGTGATCATTTTGAAGGTGCTGGTCCTGGACATTCACTTGAAACTTCCGATGCACAATCCTGCTCTTCACTATGACACTAGAAGCAAAATGAGCATATGAGGGAAAGACAGCTTCATCCTCTCCAGGCATAACCAACTCAATTCCACTGCATCCGGTCATAACTACAGAACCGGTCCTCACCCTTAAAAGTTTAGAGTTAAACAGCTGAGCCTGAATATCAAGTAAGAAATTTTGGAACACTTCCCTAAGGTAGTATTTCAGGTGGTTCACTAATGGCACTCAGAACTTGACTGCCTTATAAACTGCAAATAAGCATTGATAACGCTATAAGTTGTTGCATGTGATATGACCCTGAATCTATGTCACAGATCCCTATCTCTTAGCCATTCAGGCTTTTTTCTTCCTAACATCTGGCAGCCTGTTTCTCTTGCAAGCACCCTGACTGGGTCCATTCATCTCTCGCTCATTTATGTTTGAGAACAGTTGTTTTGCACCACAGGTCCAGAGCAGAAAGAGATTTGTCTCCTTCTTCAACCCTGGTCATTTGAAAGGAGAGTAACTTTGCAAGCCATTTACTCCTCCTTCAGCCATCTTTCCATGTGACCACCAGGGTACCTATGAGGCAAACACCAGGCCCTTATCAGCCACACTTCAGTCATCGTCTGGTTCCTAACTGGTGAGGAAGTACTCCCTTTGGTGACTTAGAAATCATCCACGATCACAGAGCTGGGAAGAGTGTCATGACCCTCATGGGCAGGTTAGAAAGTACAGAGGAGATCAGCCTCAGATTTGATGTGCAGAAGAAAAAACGGCAGGGTACCCTGCTCCCATTCTGTTTCCTTGTCCTGGCAAACTCAGCTGGCATCATGGACCACAAAGAAGCAGGAAGAAAATGCACAGGAGGGGAAATTCTAGGCTTGTTCTTCTAGAGACAGAAATAAAATGATTAGTGGGGTCATCTGTTGTTTTTCTTTAATTACTGAAAGTGTGAGTTTTAAGACACAAAAATTATTAGTTACAAAATCAACCTTAAAATAGTATCTTTTGTGTAGTCCTGAATTTTAAATCTACTCTGTTGATCCAGGCATTTTGTGTCCACACTTTTTTATGGTACTAGAACATGAAGTGTTTGTTAATTAAAATAACAGCCTTCGTAGATGGGCAATCTTTTACAGTTAGGAAACAGAATATTATTTTATTAGTTGCATGTAAAACAGCTAATGTGGA